TCTTAGAATTAGCGGATAAAATATCATATGATTGGAAACAGGCGAGTAATAAAATATAGCTTACAATTATATATGTATATATATATATAAATATATATATATATATATCTACAATCAAAATATTTTAAGCGTTTAAGAATACGATTATTAAATTGAAAATAATCAAATCGTAAAATAAATTTTAAATATCGATAGTATTATCAAACAAATAAAATACGTGTAAATTCATAAGCTAATATAAATTATTAATCATAAAAAAAAAAAATAAATTCTGTTTCACATATATACGAAAATAAATTTCATTATTACAATTCAATCAAGTTGACACGTTATAGAATTTTTGGTACTGTGTCATCTTAGTTTCAAATTAAATTTATTCTCTAAAAAAAATAGAATTTATTTGATTTCACGGTTAAAAATATCTTACAAATCAAATATTAGATTCAAACATAAAAATTGTTAAATATTATAATAAATAAAATCAAAATTCAAATGTGTTTTAGATGAAACTTGAAACTTTCCATTTATATACATTGATAGAAAGTAGCACTGTATTATTTTTTCTGCGAACAGAACTCGTTGGAAATCTTTGGTGAGTGCTTACCGTCTCGGGCAATCGCGTTCGTAGGTGGGGTGGGCGAGATAAATACAGTGCCCCCCTTCCTATAGAAAGTATATACATACCTCCTCTACTATAAGAATTCTATGTAGGTCAAAGAACTAATATAAATATGAAATTAATTTATTTATTCAATTATACGAAAGTTATAATAATTTTTTCGTTATATTACACAGAAATCTTAACAAATTTTTGCTATTTAATAAAAAATTGTATTTACGAATGTAGTCAATAGACAAAATTAGCAAGATCATAAAATTAAGCATATTTATTTTGAACTTATTTGTTAAGATAATTTACACAAATACGAAAAAATAAACGATCAAAACTTCTTCAATTGTATTCTATTTCATATTAAAACGGAATGTATAGATTGTGAGCGACTTTAAATATATTATTAATCTATCGACACTGTTGCTTTTATTAATTTATGATTTCGTCATATTTTTTTTAATTGACTGTATCGTGTTATCACGATACTTACTGTAACTAGACATTTTTTACCATGTCTATTTTTGCGGCATGTAAGATGCATTGGTATTAATGGCCTTGGCCGACCAGTTGGTAAACCATCATTCGAACACGAGCCATCGCCAGAGGTCACTGTACCTTTTCTCTCTGCTGTGTTCCTTTGTCACACCGGCTTCGACCCATTTGCGGAGTATAGCTCACGCATCTTCGCGCGCTTTTTATCTCTGTATTATCTTTCTCCATATGGATTTATTTAACTTATCAATTGGATCGTTTTATTCTTTCTTAGTAAAAAAAAAAAAAATATCTTTAAGCACAAATTTATAATATTAATTTAACGGATAATAATTTTTTTGCTAATTTAAAAGTTTTTTGTTATTGAGCTAAAAATAAAAATAGAAGAAAGATTATGCTTAGAATTATTTATATATTTTTATACATTATAACATTACAATATACTTTTGTATACATTAATAACGTTTCGATAAATGATAGTGAAATTAAAAATATAAATTATCATGATGCGTAAAATTTTAATAAATCAATTTATTTTATTTATCGTGACAAAATAGTTAGACAATTAACTGCTACATGCATTAAAGGAAAAAATCATTAATGAATAATCATAAAAATCGATAGCTATTTGATATATAAATGTGACGTTCGCTTTAAGACAAATCGAATTCTTACGATATAATTTTTTGCATTTAACATTTTTGCGATTAAAAGAGTAACATTATTTTCATTATCAAATATACATTATCTTTAATAGATTGAGAATTGAAATTTGTATGATTTTTAGATACCATCAAGAGGGTTACCTGTTCGAATGAGGTGACATTTTGAGAACGACCGAAACTGTATTACAAATTATATTTTGAATAAAACTTCTGAAATTGAATATACGGTATTTCACTTATTTCACTGACGTTTGATTTTATTTTATCGACATTATTCATTTCTCGTTATCAAGCATACTCACTCGATGGAAACGAATATTAAGCATTCGAGATATTACACATTTTTCTTAAAAACAAATTTTTGCAAATTGTGGCTGACCCCGTAAATATATTACATCTGACGGATATGATATCTCATCGGGGCATACTCGCGTCACACTGTGACTCTGGTAAATTAGTTTATCTTATGTAACGTGTTAGTGTAGACCAGAAAGAGTGTGGCCATTGTTTGGCTTATATACGACAACCGCGCGCGTACAACTACGTGGCACCCGCATGAATTCATAAATGTGTCTCAACCGTCGGCCAATGCCTCGAACTTCTGTATTCACGAAGAATACAAAAAGAATTAAACGTATTACTATTAGTACTATTTACGTCAGTGTGAATAGTATTATTAAACATGTGTAATATTATTTACACATTGTATTTACGTATTGTTTGTTTTGTGGTTAAGTGATCGCTGCGCAAAATTTTTTTTGTCGAAAGAAAAATTGAAAGATGTGAATATATATTTCTGCGTGTATATGTGTATGTATTTTAGCTAAGATGGTCGAAAAATGACAGAATTCAAGAAGATTTTTTTTTTTTTTACGTTAGCAGACAAGTTATAAACAAGTTACATGATATTTTGTACAGTTTATTTTTATTATTTTCTATACTATGTATGAACTATTTTGAGAAGTAATCGTGTATATATATATAGCTTTATTTGAATAGAAAATTTTAAGAACTGTCTAAGAAAAATTTATTGGAAAAGTTAAAAATTAATTTAAAAAAATAAATGTTTATATATTATATATTTATTGTACGTTCATGAAATAATTTATAATATAGTAAAAAGTATTTAACAATGTATGTAGTAAATTATTGTTGGTGCATTTAGATATTAATATTTTATAAATAGAATGTTTATAAAGGACAAAACATTAAAATACTTGGTAATGAAGCGAAGAATACACATAAAAATGGAACATTAAATCAACAAAAAAAAAAAAAAAGAATTTTAATGTTTACTTAAAGTAATTTGCATTTGACACGTTGATAGCTATAGTTAGTGAAGTCATGATATTTATAATGTTAATGGATATAAAATTAATTGTTGAAAATATCAATAACCAATTAATAATTGAAATTATTATATTAATTAATTAAAATATTGTACAATCAGTTTCAATCAACAAAATTAATAAAACAATAGTGAAATTGTTGTGCATATTTAATAATTGTACATTAACATTTTATCAAAGTTAAAAAATCCTAAAAATTCGAAAAATTTGATTATTTTATAATTCAATATTCTACTCAATATAACCAAATAAATACATATACGTTCGTATTATAAGAATGAAATAAAAGAAGATTATTTTTCTTATTGGTAATGAATTTGATAAATCGATTTTTGTTATTGTTAAAAAAATAAATACATATACACGATCGTTTAAGATTTTATATTTTAAATATAAAATATATAGGATCAATTGACTAAAACATTTATTTGTTACATTTTAAAAGATAAGATGAACATCCAGATCCAAATAGCATATATTCCAGCATATTTTTGTATTAAAATAATAATCAGAAGTGATTTTTTAAAAATTAATTTTGATGAATTTTTTTTATATAACATACAATTAATCATAGAAAAAAGCTAGTTTTGCATTAATTAATAAAGAATTGTATAGACAGCGAGGAAAATAATTTATATTGGAAAAATGGAATTTTTTCTAATGGAATTTTAAAGTACATGGTCGAGATACTCAAATCTTATTTAAAAATAAAATTCCAGCTAGTATTTTTCCATGTATTTTCATATTCGATCAAAACCAATCTTGCCACTTACATAATCTCTTACGTGTACGTTGATAATATTATTAATGTACACTATGCTGGTCGTTTTATGTGCATACCGTATGTTGTGAAAACCTTCAGATTTAATAGTCGAACGTTCGAATCTGCTAAAAAAAGATTTATCTCTGTACTTTTCTTTTAACTATTTAAAAGCGAATCGTCAAATCCAAAAAAAAAATAAATAAAATCTAAAAGCATTTGAGTTCCTATATAGTGTTCCTATATACTTGTCAAGTCACATATATATAAAGACACAACTTGTAAAGAATCGATGTGTATTTTAAAAAATTAATCGCAAAAAATTATCCAAAATTTTCAATTATTATCTTTCAACAGACATTAAAAAATAATAAAATAACTTCGGCACATTTGAGGTTATGATCCGTCCAAAAATTCTCGTTCAATTAGTCAAAAACATACGAATATGTTTTTAACTAAATTAACATTGATTTTTATCGAATTTTTATTGATTTAATATATATATATATATATATACATTTATTGAGTCTTATCATACAATGTGTATAACATATTTAGATACACATCACGAATCGATAGTGTAACGTTAAAACATTTACAAATTGACATTTGAATTTATTTGAAAACTATGCTCGTTCGATGTAATCGGTGAAGACGACTGGTTTCTTCCAGAGTGTACGAACAGCGGCACTAACAGATCCTGTCTGAGTAGTTACTATATCGTTACACCGTCTGTAATGGCGTTGCAATCGTCTCTGGCAGAACAAGGAGCGGCTGTTCTTCTGTCGTCGTGGATTACATGGCCTCTTAACCGCGTATTGCGTATTCAATTGTCGATGACTACATGCACGTTTGTTACGCGTACGCGGCTTCTCTCTATTCTATATCGTGAAACGCGTTCATTAGAATCGAACGACTATAATATACGTGAAAAGCGCGTATTATAAGCAAAGAATAATTAATTGAGAACAATTAAAAGCGACATTATTCTTGTGATAAAACGGATGATACGTATTTTTAGAAACTAGAGAGATATTCAATGAAGATAAACGAGCTGATCAACTTTTAACGCATTATTAACATATTAATTAAATTTGTGTGCCAGAGATTTCAATATTTTCTGTGAAATGAATAAAAAAAAAATATCGTGTAAACATAGATTCGATTTTTCGCGCTTGAAACAATGTACGATTTAACAAGAATTACGTAAAATTTTATTTTGATCGGATCGTTATCATGTTCCGCATTCGACACGAATTCTTTTCTATCTATTTTCGCGGACGAATATGATACGCGTATGTTTAATGGCGTATTACGCAATTTCATATCGATCTTCTCGATACTATCGGCTGACGAACGAATTTAATCGAATAACTATAAAAGTTACGATCTATCGATGAACAAAAAATAAAAGTTTGATATCCTTTAACCAATCGCAAGGTTTCGATAAATTAGAAAAAAAAATTAGATCTAGTTTTTAATATTCGTTAAATATTCAAAAATTAATATCACTAATTTCTCCATTACTATATTCCTCTATCTTACGTGCCCTTAATCTAAATTGTTTCTTTCCGTTCCTCTATATTCCATCCAAACGTGAACCAAACGTTTATCACGCTTGGAAACCAAGTACCAGCAATACTACTTGTACAACTACTGTATATAACTGCGCACTGCTTACTTCTAAAGACACAGGGATTCCCCCCTTAACGCGTGCTGAAACTCAAGGATAAGTTTATTTTGACTGTCGACCCTCTTTCTCTCTTCATCGTCCGTCTCGTGCGCCTCGGACGACAACAACAAAAGAAATTGCTCGGTCGAGTCGAATTCCACTCAATCTAGCTAAGTTTGGATCTCGATTTTCCAAGCGTTTGTTTCCTCAATTTTTACGCTCCTCCTCGGCGGTGTTGGAAAGCGCGGAGATGATCCTGGCTATCCCGTGTCCGGGCCACTATTTCCGTTTGCTACTAAACGCTTGTGCCCGCGAGTGCTCTCTGGCGCATAGTTAGGCAGGCAGGCGCGCATACGCGCTCGCTCTCTCCCCCTCCCCCGGGAGAGGCACCGGCGAGAGCTCTCCCTATACGTGTACGCACGCGAAGACTTCTTCATCCGTTCGTTCATTCAGAGTTCACAGTCAGTCAGTTACCAGTACACCTCCACCGATCAGCTGATCCCGACGACGACGGCAGACTGCGCGTCGCCAACCCCTCTGCCCTCCTTCCCTTCTTCTCCACACCCCCCTCCTCTACCTTCCTCCTCCGCCACCTCCACCACCTCCTGCTGCTGGTCGTGCTGCTACTACTACTACTACTACTTCTACTACTACTACTACTACTACTATTACTACTACTACTGCTGCTGCTACTGCTGCTGCTGCTGCTGCTCTGCCCCCTTACCCCCCCGGTGGACGATCAGCTGACTGGGAACTGTCAGTCGTGTGCCGTGGGCCTGCGAGCCCACGCCGATGGTGGGGCTCTTTCCACGATCCAAGTCAGTTGGTTTCTACTCTACAGGACCGCGAGGCGACGCGACGCGCGGCGTCGCGCCACTGTCCCGTCCCAGTGTCAAAGTCCACGCGAATCTGGCCAAGGTGACGGGGCAGACGAGAGACAGACACGAGCCAAAAATGGCGTAGCAAGGTTAGGTTTTTGGTTAACACGAATTTCACGAGGGTTGCACTTGGGCTAAGGTTATACGATACTTGTAATTATATAGAACAATTAGTAATTGTATATGAGATATTGTAATTATTGTAACGTATTGATACGTATCTTGTTTTCATTAGTCTTGTTACACTTGTATTTTATTACAGAACGCGCCATTGCGATGAGCCTCTCGAAGTGCTCTCCTTTTTCGGTGTAACGGTTTTTCGGTTCACGCGAAGTCCGACGAAGTCGTTCGTATATATTCGGAGGTTCTCGGCTAAAGTCGGCGATCGGCCTGGATATTCATTGGACGACTGTCGACTGAAGTCGACGATCGGGCGAAAGAAATTAAGAGGCTGTGCATCCATCGTCTTATCTATCGGTTAAAATAGTTTAGATGATGATTTTATGTAATGGCCTTCGGAGTTGCCTATCGTGTTATTCTCTCAATGCCGTCAATGTCGTTAAAGTGTTCTTTTTTTTTTTTTTTTTTCTCCCTCTTTTAAAAGGCTAACTTAACGCTAGTTATCTCAATAGAAACTTCCTTCATGCGTGATATTGTAACCTTGCTAGATAACGCAACACGATTTAACGTACTCGATACAGATATTGTTGTCAAACTATGTTTATTTTTGTTTGTTGACAATTTTTCTGCTCTGTATGTATATATTACGTAGCGAAGGGATAAGCAGAAATGAAGAAAAACGATAAACGTGACTCCAAGGAGAACTGTCGAGCAGAACTGTCTCCGGGGTGTGCTTGGTTTATATTCTTGGAACAGGGTTCTTGGCTCCCTCCTTCACGCTTATTTTGGATCATCGCGTTTGGAATTTGCAATAAACCGCTGATGATCTGTGTATCGTGTTGCAAATTCGCGAATCGTTGGGATTGGCAGATCAGTTTTATCAATGGCAATGAAAACAATGATTATCGCGTGATTACGAACGCAATTTTTTCTCGATTGGATTCAGATATACTTGTAAATATATTTCTCATCCGTAGAATAGGATATCTATAGGTCGTCATTTTATGAATGTCATTTAATGTGTTTCCACGTTGAATGACAATTATTATTTTTTTTATTCCGATAATTTTCTATCCTTTTCTCAAAAACCTCCTCCTCCATTACTTTTGAAAATAACTTGTCGAGCATATAATTGGGATAAAATATTGAATAATAGATAAAAAAAAAAAAAATACTGGATGCATATCCTGAACGTGTGACATCGTCGATATCGCGAAGGAAACATCGAAAGGCAGACGTCAAAGCTAAAGAAGATTTATCCTCTTTGAGACTGTATATATAGGTAGCAGTTTGCTGCGGCTCTCTCGAGCCCTACGTGTATACGATATGCCGACTAGATATACTGGTTTTACGTTATAGTCGATGAGAGATAAATGCACAGGCGTGCTCGTAATTCCAACCAGTTCTCTATCTCTTGAACTAGGGAGGCAGGGGGAGGGATTGGGAAATAACGCAGAGAGCGAATTCACTACTGGAATACTAATTCTTCGTTCTTAATAGTCGTGCGTTCGTTCTGCATGGAGGAAAAGAAGCATTATGTTCAAGCATGATGAAACAATGGAGAGGCTTGAAGGAAAATGGTATAAGTAATGAAATTAAAGAAAAGAGCAGGAAGAATTAAATTAAAAGCGAATTGAAGAAAGGAAAATATGATTACGATAATTGAAAAAAAATTTTTTAATACTGGAATTTATTTATTTATTTATTTTATTTTTTTTTTTTTTTTTAAGTAAAGACTTTATCTGAAATTAATGATAAAATTCTTCACGTTGAACAGCAGAAACAAGTTTGAATTCGTTTCATCGATTGTGCTTAACGGGTATATTGTGCCGATGATATTAACAAAGGTTTATGTAATTGTTCGTATTCTAGCGTATAACATTGAACGTAAAAATAGTACCACTGATATGATACATACAACTTATAGCGTCCTTTCAAAGCATAATATCCAGATGACGCATTATCATTGAAACAATATCGCTAGAATATTTCCATGAACAATGTTATGCTTTATTTCTTTAATATTTTAAGAAATCTTTTCAAAAAGATAATAAGAAACTTAAATAAAGTGGCAATATTTATGCGCGTGATCATAAGCATGAATAAGAATATTATATATATATATTAACGGAAATATTTATTTTTCGTTCGTGGATTGGATGGATTTCTGGATATTAGTTAAAGAAACAAAGTACATTATTGTATTACATCACGTGTTTTCCTCTGTTGAACTTGAAATAGACATTATATTTACATATTCACAATCACCTAATTTCAAGTATCATCTAACTTATAAAAATCCAAGAAAATACAAATAGACTTATAATAATTCACACGTATAAAATAATCTAATCTTTTTATTTTAGTAATAGCCTCACGTGAAATTTAAAAATTCCTCTAGATAAATGTTACGTTATGTCAAGCGTTCTTCCAAACGATCCTTCCAATATTGGCCACACTGACCACCAGGGAGGCGCCACTGAGAAGCGATCCTCTATTACCATTAGACATAACCATAGAACGTACGTATACAACGTACGTGCTGCTAACTAACGTCGCTTAGGCACACGACCGGTCACCGGTGACCGCGGCGACCGATGTATCCGTTCAACGACGAAACCGAGACTGACTAAAAGCCCCGACGCGAAGCACGCGACGCTGGAAACGTGAAAAAGCCGAGCGATAGAGCGCGAAAACGGCGGCGCGCGCGGAGCCATAGGCCAGAGAGTGTGGCGGGCCGGTGCAGCATGGACATCAACGTTAGGGAGAGGAGGGGCGAAAGAGAAGAGTGTGCGAGAGGGGGTGGGAGAGAGAGAGAGAGAGAGACCATGTCCTACCCCAACGAGCACGTGGCGGCAAAGACACTTTCATCATGTAGTCCCTCGGAGGCGAACGAACACGTGGATAGCGTTCGACGCTCTCGAAGAACGTCCCCGCGCATGCGCGGTGTAATTCATACTACCAAGGTCAAGCAAAGTCGCACGATTACAGACAAGACGGGGCGTCCGCGTGTGCCGGTGCTACTATGCTACCTAATCGGCGCCAGTAAATCGCGTGGTATATACGTGGACTGGTACGTAATAATAGGCGGGCTTGCTCGCATTCTCCTCGTAACATTCTTCGCTCTGATTGCTTCCTCCTCGTCCCGTCATCATTCGTGTTCTATATCAATCGCGAGATAAATCGATGTGAAGTTGGGTGACGATGAGAAGTTTATCGCAATTGTTCGAGACGTGGTCAGCGATGATCGCGCTTCTATCGATTCCCGACGGTTGCCTTGTTTTGCGTTATTCGTTTCGTTAGATGGCACGTTTGACAACGATGGTGCTTACGGCGGTTGCATTGTTTCTTGGTGGAACAGGATAATAATAGTGTGTTGAACGTGAATGATATCGATGAGCTGTTCGTATTTATGGATGATTTTATTCGACCGACGAGCAAGTAGGAATAATATAATTGGGCGAACATTGAATATTATTAGTTTCTAGATAGGACTTTTTTTTTTTTTTTTTTTTGGTAGATGTAAAAGTGTGATTAAGATGAAATTCGAAAAAGCGACATGTATCTATTCTATTGTTATTTACGTAGCTTAAATACAAGGAGCAGTGACATTTGATATTTTCATGAAACCGATTATTTTTTTTTTTTTTTTTTTTCTTCTCTACTTCAAGGTCGTGAAATATCAGTGGAGCATAAAAATAGGAATCTTTTTGAGCTTTCGATATCTCAGTTGACCAAACTCTTCGTTATTTCTATATTTAGATAACTTTCAGACGACAACGAATTTTTAAGAAACCGTGCGTTATTTATCGCATATATAATTTTGAATCAAATTTTTTTTCGTATCAATATTTATTTATTTTTTTAACGAAATAAAATTTAATCCAATTTTATTTGATCGAATTAAATTTTTATTTTGGTATTTTTTTTTTTTAATTCTTGTTAATTAATAAACGAGTAGTATCGAGAAAGTTGTTATAAATTCTTTAGTCTAAAGCCTAAGATTTGTCATCCATTTTCCCTTCCCTCTTTCTACATGGTTTCTCTTGATCAAACAAAAAGTTACCGCAGGTTGAAGTAAATTCCTGTTGGTCTTTTTGTCGCGACTGGTTACTAGTTCTTCACAACGTGCCTCCCTTTCTTACCTGCCTCTGATCAAATGGAACGCTGGCCTTAAGTTCAAATGAATTCCGTTGGCCATCTTTCTACAATTGTTCGACGCTTTTCTACGACAAAGATGGTAGTCCATTATATCTCGAACTGAAAATTTAATAATTTAATTACACAATTAGTAGTACTTTGTTAAATTTAAATTTTTTTCTCGAGCGAGATGCACACTAGGCACGATACAATTACACGCACAGATAACGCGCATTCACCGCCAATAAAAAGGGTTATCGAAGTTGAGGTAGTTCCTTATCAGAGAAAACAGAGTCGTAACGTATCCTGATAAATCCAAGTGTTTACGACAGATAAACTTTTCGCGATCTAACTACGCGGTAGAATGTCCGATAAGATCAGGCAAATTATAAAACGTCTGCATTTATTTATATTACCTTTCTAACTTTCTTTCTTTTTTTTTTTTTTCCACGTGCACTGAACAATTTCTCACTATTGTGAAACAATTAATATACTGGTGTTAAAATAGAATTTTAACAATTTAGAGTGAAAGGAAAAGAAATTTTCAGAATCGTAGATTCTGAAAGATTTATTAAGGAGGCCGTGGCTGTGGATCCATTATAATTTTCCAAGTAAAATCAGCGTAATCAGCTCTGTGTAATCCCCAACAATTTTGTTGCTTTATCTTGTTATTATAACGCTTCATAGCCGTAAGTTGTTACAAACTTGAAATGCGTATAATTTAGTCGAATATGATTTTTATCAATAACATGAAATAGAAAAGAATCTTAATATAATATTTATGGATTCTTGGAAGAGGCAAAGCATCAAATTTGGTGTAACTTCATATGCAGTTGGCAATTAAAATTTTTTTTTTTTTAGATGAAATGAAATGGTTCTATTTC